AAAAATTTATTTCTAGAGAGAGAGGAAGGGAGGGAGTAAGACAGGGAGAGAAATATCAGTGTGGCTGCCTCTCACAGGCCCCCAACTGGGGACCTGGCCTGCAATCCAAGTATGTGCCCTGACTAGAAATCGAACTGGAGACCGTTTGGTTCTCAGGCTGGTGCTCAGTCCACTGAGGCACACCAGCTGGGGCTCAGTGCTAGACTCTTAAGTGAAACAACCTAATACCAATTTTCTGTATGGTATACAAGTATTCCTTTTTCTCTTTTTCAGAATATATTGGTGTTTTTCTCTGTTACTTGGCAGGTTATTGTCAGCGTTTATATGATCAGTAAATTACTGAGGTCCATCTTACGCCATTATTACTAATGATCATGAGATATTTAGCTACAGACAAAAGGGATTCTACATGCAAGATTTGGTGGTGGCAGAGACGGTAGGGACAGGCTCTGAATGAGGGTGTTAGAGAAAGTGTCCTAAGGGAGGCAACTTCATGGAGGGTTGTCTTATAGAGAAGGGAAGGGGGTTAGGAGGGGCCTTCTGGGAAGAGCCTTAGGGATCTGACAGACCCTGCATTAGATGTGACTATAGCAAAAAAGCAGAAGTGGGAGAGTGGGACGGAGAGGCAGAGAGGTTGTGGGATCACAAAGAACATAGATGCCACACAGGGGAATTAAGGCTTTGTATTTACCATCAAATTGATAAGACTGTTTGAGAAATTTAATAATCGATAAGCCCGTCCAGGAGAGCCATTCTGTTTTCTTTTCATCTCTAGTTCTTTCTATTGTACCTGACACAGGGTAGACATTCAATATAATAAAAACACACAGCTTTTATGTTTTTATCCTAAGCGTTCAGTGGATTGATTCCCAAAGCTGTGATATCCTGGAACCCAAGTCTCCCAGGGAGTGGCGTTTAGGCATCTGAGAAGGTGAGAGAGGCCCCACATTTCACCATAGGGTGAAAATGCTTTGAGAACATGTGCCTACTGACCATTTGAAGATTGTGTTATTAAATAATTTTATAAAAATCATCTGATCGTCTTCTCAGAACCCTAAAACACAAGCTGTTTCTTAAGGGCTCTAGGACTTATTTTTTCAGTGTTCTGATTATATTTCACAACTTGACTCTTTTTTTATTTATAATGATTTATGGATGGTGAAAAAATACTTCAACATTGTTTCATGCATACAAAACTTTTAAAATATGTAAAGCATATACAAGATTGTTCAGTCTTTACCGTTAACAAATAGTTTCTGTGCTTTATTGGAGTAAAAAAATTGTAAAAAAGGTATACATTTCAGATAGTTGCAGAATCAAAATATAATCTATAATATTAGTAACCTCTCTCCTAGCCTGTCAGTCTTTCAGCCATGGATCCCTCTGTATCATAGGCAAAATCATGGATCCATTTATGTGTTTCCGGGGTCTTTTCCAGGTGACAATTCCCAGTATATTTAGTAAAAACTGATTACTTAGTATATCCTTTTTAAATTTTTTTTATTTTTTTCTCCCCTTTATTCCCCTCCACCCTACATGCACCACACCCCCCTTCCCTGCCCCCCCCCCCCGCATTTCCTCCCCTAGTTCATGTCCATGGGTCGTACATATAAGTTCTTTGGATTCTGCGTTTCCTATGCTATTTTAACTTCCCCCTGCCTATTTTGTACCTCTGCACCTTTTCTTCCACCCCCCACCCCCTGGTTTACTGTTCATAGTTTTTGATCTTTTTCTTAGATAAGTTCCTTTAACATTTCATATATAAGGACTTGGTGTTGATGTACTTGTTTAACTTGACCTTATCTGGGAAGCACTTTATCTGCCCTTCCATTCTAAATGATAGCTTTGCTGGATAGAGTAATCTTGGATGTAGGTCTTTGCTTTTCATGACTTTGAAAACTTCTTTCTAGCCCCTTCTTGCCTGCAAGGTTTCTTTGGAGAAATCAGCTGATAGTCTTATGGGAACTGCTTTGTAGATAACTGTCTCTTTTTCTCTTGATGCTTTTAAAATTCTCTCCTTATCTTTAATCTGGGGTAACTTAATTATGATGTGCCTTGGTGTGTGCTTCCTTGGGTCCAACTTCTTTGGAGCTCTCTCAGTTTCCTGGATCTCCTGGAAGTCTATTTCCGTGCTCACATTGGGGAAGTTTTCCTTCATTATTTTTTCAAATAAGTTTTCAATTTCTTGCTCTTCCTCTTCTCCTTCTGGCACCCATGTGATTCGGACGTTGAATCATTTAAAGTTGTCCCACAGGTTCCTAAGCCTCTCCTCAGTTTATTGAATTCTTGTTTTTTCATTCTGTTCTGGTTGAATGTTTATTTCTTCCTTTTGTTCCCAATCATTGATTTGTGTCCCTGTTTCCTTCCCTTTACTATTGGTTCCCTGTGTATTTTTCTTCATTTCAGTTTGCACAGCCTTCACTTTGCAGCCATACTCAACCAATTTCAGTGCACATCCAGATTATCAGTGTTTTGAACTCTGCATCTGATAGGTTGCTTTTTTTCCTTTTGTTTATTTCTTTTTCTGGAGTTAGATCTGTTCTTTCATTTGGGCCATGTTTCTTTGTCTCCTCATGTGTACAGTCTTCCTGTGTTTGTTTCTATACACTAGGTAGAGGTGCTATGTCTCCCAGGCTTGATAGAGTGGCTTAATGTAGTAGGTTTCCTGTAGGGCCCAGAGGTACAGTCTTCCCTATTACCTAAGCTGGGTACTCAAGGTGTGCCCTTTGTGTGGGCTGTGTACACCCTCCTGTTATAGTTGAGCCTTGATTGCTCTCGGCACATCCAGGGTCAGCCAACACCTGTGTTCTGTCCTGGGTCACACAGCATTAGCTACAAAGCTATCTGCAGATGGCTGCTACATTGCTGGGCTTGGAGGTGCCCCCATGAGGCCAAGATGTGAACCAAGGCCGCCTGCTGTTAGTGACAGGCCTAGGGCCACTTAGCAAGAGGTACTGGGCTCGCTGAAGCCAGATCCTGCTTATATGAGAAAATTTAGGAAAACCTGAAGCCAGAGCCAGGACAAGCCATTTGTATGGAAAAGCCACTGGAAACAGCTTGAGTGGGCTTGAAAGTTGGGTGTGGGAGGGCCTCCAGGAATCACCAGGGTGGGACAAACCATATGAGCCAGGTTGATAGAGTCTCAGAATCTACAAAGAGAGACTCTTAATATTTTGGGGGTTGATTGTGTATGCCAGAAGGCATACATGGCTGAATTATCAATATTTTGAAAGCTTGCCTGCCGGCTTTGTGGCTATCTCTGGAGAGGGTTCAGAAAAGAAACAGTGGCGTCTGCCAGCATTTCTGTCTGGTAGAAAGCAGCCTCCCAGCTCTCCTGTATGCCAGACACTTCAGTTCCTCCCCCTATGTCTCTGATGCCTTTCAATCTGCTGCCCTTGAGCTGGAGCTTAGAGAGAGTAAGTCTGAGTAAGTCTCTGTGTGTGTCCTCTTAGAACTGCCTGGGACTTGAGCAATTTGTCTTCCGCACCCTCAATCCCCACTGATTTTTACAACCAAAAGTTATGGGGACTTACCTTCCTGGCACTGGAACCCAGGGGTGGGGGGCCTGATGTGGGGCTGGGACCTCTCACTCCTGAGATATTTCCTCTCTCTATTTATCCAAAGGACCAGCCCATTCCATCTCCACCCCTACTACCGGTCTTGATGTGGTTTCTTTAATTCCGTAGTTGTAGTACTTCCATTCAGCTCAGTTTCTGATGATTCTGAATGATGGTTCTATAGCTTAGTTGTAATTTTGATGTGGTTGTGTGAGGAGGTGAGGCATATTTATCTACGCTGCCATCTTTACCAGAAGTCTCTATTTATAAATCTTATTCTGGATCTAATACTTAGCAGGAAGCAAATAAAACACTGCTGTGGAGAATGCATTTGTCAGGATGAAAATGTAGTTACTTTTGACCATTGTTGATATGTAGTGTCTAATATTTCAAGCTTGCTTGTTTTCTGTATTCTGCTTTGCCCCCTGAGTTGATTTGGTGCACTGTGTGGATCACTATGCAATTGAAAGAATTTTGATCAGTAAATCGAAGGTTCTCTGAGTTTCTGTCTTTTTCAACAAGAATAACGGGGAAGAGGTAGGTAGACCAGAGTTTAAGGGGCCTGTGTGGGACCTGCGCTTTTTATTTATTTGGGGAAAGATGTCATTTTGGAGATTACCTCTTCCATGGCTGGTAGTGGTATTAAGTTTATCACCGGAGAACATTTTGGGGGTTGATTGTGTATGCCAGAAGGCATACATGACTGAATTACCACTATTTTGAAAGCATTTAATGTATGCTTCCATGGACTATCTAAAATATTACATAATTATTGATATTGTATTTATTTCAGTACAAAATATTACCTAGGGTATTTTTTAACTTTTGCCATTATAATTAGTACATAGACCACTGTATTTAGTCATTGTCATAATCATCAAATATGTATATCCTTATAAAATTTAAATTAATTGTTACCAAAGTAGAACATATGCTAATTTACAAAATCCAGTTAATGCCTGGAGCCCCATACCAAAAAGCTGCAGGCCCTGGCCCACAGTAGCCTCCCTTTCCCATCCCTTCCTTAAGCCGCCCTCCTTTTCAGTTATTGCTTCTGGGTAACACCTAATCTTTCAAAACTTCATGCATATATAACATTCCTGTAGTCATTAGTTTTGTTTCTTTTTTTTCTCATTTCATTAAACATATATTCTCCCAGTTTCTATAGAACAGGACTTCTGGAGTGGCATAGATGGGAGATTTTGGCTTGGAGTTTCTCATGAATGTAGTCATTATTTATATATAATATTTCTTCAATGCAGTATAATTTTAAAAGGGAATATATCATTACTTTAACAGTTTATACATGTTTGTTTGATAAATAACATTCAACAAATATTTATTTCTATGTATCAGGAACTGTTTAAAGGAAGTATGTTTGTTTTACTGTATTATTTGTAATATATGATGAGCTGATTTATAAATTTTCTTTGTTTTTCTTAGACAAAATTGAAGAAGCACAAAAAGAACTTAATGGGGCAGAAGTATCCAAAAAAGGTAAATTAAAATCAACCCCAATGTGAACTTTATTCCTGCAGAGATTCCTATATACATATAATTGCAGCCTTTACTAAATCAATCAGTGTAAGTAAATGACACAATTAAAAAACCACCTTGATACCTAAAAATATAGGTACTTTGCTTTATGAAATGCTTAAGCTACATAGCATATTTCATAATTGTTTCCTACATATTAATATATTGCTGATAGGAGTGTGATAGTTGTAGGAGTGAAAGTCCTGGCAGAAGTGAAGATTGTTGCAGCTCTTTTAAAAGCCCGTTTATGAGACTGTCCCACAGCAATAATAAAATCGGTATAATGGATGCTGATGCCTATGTGTAAGTGTGTTCATGTGATGCAGTATATTTTTGAAATGACAAAAACCTAAGACAACTAAAATAACCTAAATGCTATTCAGTGGAGGAGTAGTTGAATAAATTATAGTAAATTCGTATGTTGGGATGTTAGACAATTTTTTTAAATGTTAATTATTTCAATTGACTGTAATAATTAGTTACTAAATGAGAAAAATGAAATTGCACTAAAGCATGTAAAATAGGACAGCTTTTTTTGTTAAGTTAAAAACACATGCGTACATGCATACACATACCCTTATATAGGATTTGATAAAGTTGGAAAGGATTTATACACAGATATCTGTGTAATGTTGTGAGAAAGGGCAGAGGAAGATGATAAACTTTTATTTATAGGTCTTTGTGTCCTTTTGCTAGTTACAATTGGTATAATTTTGTATGAAATATAAGAAGTTTAAAGGCAAAAATTGGTTTTCATGATGGAAAGCATACTGATGATTTGTCCAGGTGGTATGAAAAAATACATTCAATGTAGAACAGTCTGTGGGGAGGGGAGGACAGTGGGGTGGATAGTGTTCCAACATTACTTGTTAAGGAGTAAAATTGGTTAAAACAATATAAAGTTTTCTATATGGCATTTATATTTCATGATTTGTTATTTCTTTGTTTCTGTTGTATCTTCTAATAATAGTGGAATATTTTGACAGAGTAAATTAGTCATGTAGGATTTCAGTTGAAAGTCTTTTTCTTTTTTTTTTTTTTTCTTAAATATCTTTTAAAATTAGGCACCTCACTGTTGTATTAGGGGGTATAATTTCTGCCTGTCCAGGTTCTCCATCCCTTGGACCAGGCTGTGAAACCGCCAAGACTGTTTGGGGTTGCTATGAATAGCTACACCGTGATGTGCAGCAACCTTAGAGAAGTGGCTTCCTCCTTCTTTGTCCTCTCCCCCCACTCCCTTCTTCTGTGAAATCTATGGAATGTCCATATCAAATATGACCCTTTAATGACATTCTTGCAGAAAAGCGAGTCTAGAAAGAGGAGAGATGTCACCAAAGCTATGGTGTTCCTTTGAAAGGTTGACTAAAGATCCCTCCCCTGCATGGCTGTAGATAGCATTTAAGATACTCAGGCTATGAGAGATCTTAAACTTTGGTTTTCATAGACAGCCTTTTTCACATCTAGTAATGGTTTAGAGCAGCTTAAAGTAGCAAAATAATTGTGTTCTTGCTGTCCTTTTCCCTCTTTCTCACCCCTGTGGCAGAGTTTTTAAGAACAGTGAGCTAAACGCCCGATAGGAAGGAGGAAATGGAACAAAAGTTCTAGGAAAAAAAAATGGATAATGAGGTTTAGAATAATCTAGTGGGCTACATTTGGCAGGCTACACTTAATTTAAGACCTAGGATGAATACCAAATGAGCGCTGTTCTATCCAATTTACTGCATAGAATTACTATTTGGCCTTCATTTTTACAAACATGTTCTGGGCAAATTAAAAATAAAATAGTTTTCCTCTTGAATATAATTTAGGAGTATTATCAGTTGGTCTTTAACAACATGAGATGAAATCTTTTAGCAATAAAGGTGTTGAGATTTCTCGCATCTTTGCTTGCTGAGCTATTTTATTAAAGAAAGTTTATTTCTTCCTTTGAAGAGTATACTTTAAAAATTTAGAGTTATTGTTTTTTATTGATTAAAATGATTCATGTAGGATTGATCACTTTTTCACTATTTTTTCCACAAGCTTTTATTTCCCTCTGTGAGTTTGACTTTTTTACATCTGGCTTTTTTTCTACAGTGCTCATAGACAGTTCAAAGGCTCTGTCTCCATTGTACATACTGTGGTCCTTTACTTATTTAAGGTTTTTTCTCCCCTCTTCTTGTTTTGTGATTATTAGGACAAGTAACTAATTTATCTTCAGAAGCACTTAACATAATGGTAGGCTCATGTTAAGAAAAGAAATTTGCTCATTGATAGATTAAAATAGGCATCTTTCCTGTTTTATAACATTTTAAGAAAAGATCAATCTATTTGTAATATGGCGTCATAGAAACTTCTTTTGCCCATTATACACCAAGAGTATATGGAAGTGTACTAATTTATGTTAATGTACTTTATTCTTTTTTTCTCATTTTGAATGAAAAATCAGATGACTTTACTTTGATTTATTTTGATTTAATCAATTTGAGGGGGAAATACAGGATGCAGCATTCACACAGTTCTCCATATTGTCATGATATTCCTTACAGTGCTTTTTACTTGTTCCTAACATCCATTGTGCTTGACACTATTTATAAAATTATTGTGCAGGCTTTAAATAAAATAGTGGATGTCACAGATGTAGTAAGGGAAGGATATGTGTAAGATAAACTGGGAAGAAATAAATAGATTTATTAGAACTTTTTATCTTTTGAATAACCTTTAATTTTAATACTTTGTTTTAAATTTTATCACATAATATTTGAAATATATATTAACATATGTAAGATGTGAAATTGTAAAGCAAAGAATAACATGGTAATAATCTTTGATTCTAGCAACTAGCATGTTGTTAATACTGTTGTGTAAACCTGTTGCTCATCATGATTGCTGCCCACTCTCTGCTCTGTAGGGGGTATTCACTGTCCTCAACTTAGTGTTCATCATTTTAGTGTTTCTTAAAATTAATTATGTGCTCTTAAACAATATACTTTTTAGTTTTGGCTGAGTTTGAGCTTGAACAAAATTATATAATTGTGACAGCTTTTTCATTCAACATTGTTGCTGAGAGTCATGCATGTTGTTGGATGTATTGAATAGCTGTTTCCTTTCACTGCTGAATAATACTTGGAGTGAAATGATTTGTTCCTCCATTCTCTTGTTGATAGATTCAAGTTATTTCTACCTTTTTGCTATCACAAAGAATGCAGCTATGAATACTCTCCTATCCTGAGAATGTCGATATTCAGCTTCATAAGATAATGCTAAATTGTTTTCCAAAAAGTTTTTTTTGAAACTTTACATTCCCATCATCAGAGTCTGAGAAGTCATTTTGTGCTATTCAGTACTTGGTATTATCTGCCTTTTAAATTTTTTTCTAGTTGAATGAGTATAAAATATTATTTTGTTCAGCTCTTGATTTATTTTTCCTTGAATACTAATAATGTAAAACATGTCTTCATTTGCACTTCTTGAAATGCTTACTGGTATCTTTTACACAGTTTAAAAATCTTAATATATTTTTGATAATAACCCTTTATCCACTATATGTTTTAGTTTTGGGTTTAATTTTTTTTTATTTCTTTAAAGTGCCTGTTAGTAAATAGAAATTCTTGATTTTAATATTGTCAGTCTGTTAATCTTTTTCTGACTAGTATTTTTAATTGGAATTTTTTATTTGTTTATCTTAAGAAAGTTTTTTTTTACCACAAGGTCTTACATTTTTTTTGTGTGTTTTCTTCTAAAAAATCTTTTACATTTGCATTAAAAATTAATCTGAAGTTGATTTTTAAAAACGTGATGTGAGTTAGGGCTCCAGTATCTTTCTTTATCAAATGGATAACCATTTGTCCCTGAAAAATGTATTGAGTAGCTTCTCCCTTATCCCTGTTTCAAATTAATTTTCTCTGAGTGTATGGGTTTGTTTCTCACTCTCTAGTCTGTTCTGTTTGTACATGGGTTAATATCACAGTGTGTTAATTACTATCACTTACTGTCTAATACATAGTAAAGCAGATTCTTATAGTTGTTTTTCAGGAGTATTTTGACTATTTCCAGTTTTTTGCTATCCATTTAAATTTTAGAATCAGCTTTTTAAAAGAATTTGTTGGAACTTTGTTTGAGATCACATTGAATTGGAAGCAAACTGACTATAGTCACAATGTTCAGGCTTCCTATCAATAAAGATAGTGTATTTTTGATACTTGTATTTTCTTTGTGTCTTATATAATTTTTTTCATATACCTTATTTTATTGGATTTAATTCTTGGGATTAAATTATTTGCTGATTTTATTGATTGTGTGCATGTGTGTGTGAGAGAGCGTGCGTATGCGCATTTTCTAGCTCTTTTTTGTGAATAGAAATACACTTTTTTATATATTCTTAATGTCCAGCTACCTGGCTAAACTCATCCATTCGGAAAATCGGATGAGTCTGCAGATGCTTTAGAGTTTCTTGTAAACAGACATACCAAGCTAGGTGTAATGAAGGCCTTGTTTCTTCTTTTACAATTTTTGTTTAGTTTATTTTCCTTGTTTTACCCAGTTGGTTCCAGTGGAATGCCAACAAAATGGTAGTATTGGCATCTTGACTTGTTCTTCATTTTAAAGGGAATTCTTCTAATATATCTCCATTAAAATATTTTATGTCTTTTCATGGGAGGGTGTGTTCAGGTTTTTTGTTTGTTTGTTTTAACAATTTACAGAGGTTATTTCTATTTTTGATGAGATTTTTAAAAAAGGGGTTCTTTTCAGAATCAAACACATTTTCTTCATATGTAAAGACAGTCTTATGGTCTTTTTCTTACTCTGGTGTTGAAACCTGTCTTGCATTTTTTTTAAAATCAATTTGGTCTTGATATTTAATATTTTAAACATGCTGCTAGATTTGATTTGTTATTATGTGTTGAATTCTCTATTCATGTTCAAGAGATACCTCCCTATAATTTTACCTTCTTATAATTTTACTTGCCTGATTTGTGTTG